TCTCCTTTGGTTTCTATTGGCTCCATCAGCTCCTCGGTTCGTTCTCCAATCTGGGACCAGACCCTGACCAAACAGACCAGATCCTCGGTCCGTTCTTCAACATGGGACCAGACCCTGACCAAACAGACCGGATCTCCTTTGGTTTCTTTTGGCTCCATCAGCTCCTCGGTTCGTTCTCCAATCTGGGACCAGACCCTGACCAAACAGACCAGATCCTCGGTCCGTCCTTCAACATGGGACCAGACCCTGACCAAACGGACCGGATCTCCTTTGGTTTCTATTGGCTCCATCAGCTCCTCGGTTCGTTCTCCAATCTGGGACCAGACCCTGACCAAACAGACCAGATCCTCGGTCCGTTCTTCAACATGGGACCAGACCCTGACCAAACAGACCGGATCTCCTTTGGTTTCTTTTGGCTCCATCAGCTCCTCGGTTCGTTCTCCAATCTGGGACCAGACCCTGACCAGACAGACCGGATCTTGTATGGTTTCTATTGGCTCCATCAGCTCCTCGGTTCGTTCTCCAACCTGGGACCAGACCCTGACCAGACAGACCGGATCTCCTTTGGTTTCTATTGGCTCCATCAGCTCCTCGGTTCGTTCTCCAACCTGGGACCAGACCCTGACCAGACAGACCGGATCTCCTTTGGTTTCTTTTGGCTCCATCAGCTCCTCGGTTCGTTCTCCAATCTGAGACCAGACCCTGACCAAACGGACCGGATCTCCTTTGGTTTCTATTGGCTCCATCAGCTCCTCGGTTCGTTCTCCAACCTGGGACCAGACCCTGACCAAACAGACCGGATCTCCTTTGGTTTCTATTGGCTCCATCAGCTCCTCGGTTCGTTCTCCAATCTGGGACCAGACCCTGACCAAACGGACCGGATCTGCTTTGGTTTCTATTGGCTCCATCAGCTCCTCGGTTCGTTCTCCAACCTGGGACCAGACCCTGACCAGACAGACCGGATCTCCTTTGGTTTCTATTGGCTCCATCAGCTCCTCGGTTCGTTCTCCAACCTGGGACCAGACCCTGACCAAACAGACCGGATCTCCTTTGGTTTCTCGTCTGCCTGGCTGTGTGTTTCCTGCACGGGGCCGCCTTTTACAGCTGCTTTTTGTATCTCTGCTTCTGTCTCCTTGAACCCCAGTCGGCCTCGGCAGATGGCCGCTCACACTGAGCCTGGTTCTGCTGGAGGTTTCTTCCTGTTAAAAGGGAGTTTTTCCTCTCCACTGTCGCTACAAGCATGCTTAGTGTGGGGGATTGTATTTGAGTCAATGAGTCAATGCAATCAACTGGTTTTCCTTAGATAGAAAACTTTGTATCAATTTGACTGTATGATCTGGTTGAACTGTAAAGTGCCTTGAGATGACATGTGTTGTGAATTTGGCGCTATATAAATAAACTGAATTGAATTGAATTATTGGCTCCATCAGCTCCTCGGTTCGTTCTCCAATCTGGGACCAGACCCTGACCAAACAGACCGGATCTCCTTTGGTTTCTATTTGCTCCATCAGCTCCTCGGTTCGTTCTCCAACCTGGGACCAGACCCTGACCAGACAGACCGGATCTCCTTTGGTTTCTATTGGCTCCATCAGCTCCTCGGTTCGTTCTCCAACCTGGGACCAGACCCTGACCAGACAGACCGGATCTCCTTTGGTTTCTATTGGCTCCATCAGCTCCTCGGTTCGTTCTCCAACCTGGGACCAGACCCTGACCAAACAGACCGGATCTCCTTTGGTTTCTATTGGCTCCATCAGCTCCTCGGTTCGTTCTCCAATCTGGGACCAGACCCTGACCAAACGGATCGGATCTCCTTTGGTTTCTATTGGCTCCATCAGCCCCTCGGTTCGTTCTCCAATCTGGGACCAGACCCTGACCAGACAGACCGGATCTCCTTTGGTTTCTATTGGCTCCATCAGCTCCTCGGTTCGTTCTCCAATCTGGGACCAGACCCTGACCAAACGGACCGGATCTCCATTGGTTTCTATTGGCTCCATCAGCTCCTCGGTTCGTTCTCCAACCTGGGACCAGACCCTGACCAAACAGACCGGATCTCCTTTGGTTTCTATTTGCTCCATCAGCTCCTCGGTTCGTTCTCCAATCTGGGACCAGTCCCTGACCAAACAGACCGGATCTCCTTTGGTTTCTATTGGCTCCATCAGCTCCTGGGTTCGTTCTCCAATCTGGGACCAGACCCTGACCAAACAGACCGGATCTCCTTTGGTTTCTATTGGCTCCATCAGCTCCTCGGTTCGTTCTCCAACCTGGGACCAGACCCTGACCAGACAGACCGGATCTCCTTTGGTTTCTTTTGGCTCCATCAGCTCCTCGGTTCGTTCTCCAATCTGGGACCAGACCCTTACCAAACAGACCGGATCTCCTTTGGTTTCTATTGGCTCCATCAGCTCCTCGGTTCGTTCTCCAACCTGGGACCAGACCCTTACCAGACAGACCGGATCTCCTTTGGTTTCTTTTGGCTCCATCAGCTCCTCGGTTCGTTCTCCAATCTGGGACCAGACCCTGACCAAACGGACCGGATCTCCTTTGGTTTCTATTGGCTCCATCAGCTCCTCGGTTCGTTCTACAACCTGGGACCAGACCCTGACCAAACGGACCGGATCTCCTTTGGTTTCTATTGGCTCCATCAGCTCCTCGGTTCGTTCTCCAACCTGGGACCAGACCCTGACCAAACAGACCGGATCTCCTTTGGTTTCTATTGGCTCCATCAGCTCCTCGGTTCGTTCTCCAACCTGGGACCAGACCCTGACCAAACAGACCGGATTTCCTTTGGTTTCTATTGGCTCCATCAGCTCCTCAGTGCGTTCTCCAACCTGGGACCAGACCCTGACCAGACAGACCGGATCTCCTTTGGTTTCTATTGGCTCCATCAGCTCCTCGGTTCGTTCTCCAATCTGGGACCAGACCCTGACCAAACAGACCGGATCTCCTTTGGTTTCTATTGGCTCCATCAGCTCCTCGGTTCGTTCTCCAGTCTGGGACCAGACCCTGACCAGACAGACCGGATCTCCTTTGGTTTCTATTGGCTCCATCAGCTCCTCGGTTCGTTCTCCAATCTGGGACCAGTCCCTGACCAAACAGACCGGATCTCCTTTGGTTTCTATTGGCTCCATCAGCTCCTCGGTTCGTTCTCCAACCTGGGACCAGACCCTGACCAGACAGACCGGATCTCCTTTGGTTTCTATTGGCTCCATCAGCTCCTCGGTTCGTTCTCCAATCTGGGACCAGACCCTGACCAGACAGACCGGATCTCCTTTGGTTTCTATTGGCTCCATCAGCTCCTCGGTTCGTTCTCCAATCTGGGACCAGACCCTGACCAGACAGACCGGATCTCCTTTGGTTTCTATTTGCTCCATCAGCTCCTCGGTTCGTTCTCCAATCTGGGACCAGACCCTGACCAAACAGACCAGATCTCCGTTGGTTTCTATTGGCTCCATCAGCTCCTCGGTTCGTTCTCCAACCTGGGACCAGACCCTGACCAAACAGACTGGATATCCTTTGGTTTCTATTGGCTCCATCAGTTCCTCGGTTCGTTCTCCAATCTGGGACCAGACCCTGACCAGACAGACCGGATCTCCTTTGGTTTCTATTTGCTCCATCAGCTCCTCGGTTCGTTCTCCAATCTGGGACCAGACCCTGACCAGACAGACCGGATCTCCTTTGGTTTCTATTTGCTCCATCAGCTCCTCGGTTCGTTCTCCAATCTGGGACCAGACCCTGACCAGACAGACCGGATCTCCTTTGGTTTCTATTGGCTCCATCAGCTCCTCGGTTCGTTTTCCAATCTGGGACCAGACCCTGACCAGACAGACCGGATCTCCTTTGGTTTCTATTGGCTCCATCAGCTCCTCGGTTCGTTCTCCAACCTGGGACCAGACCCTGATGCATCTTTGCAAACAGCAGTTTTGTTTCCATTTTCTGCAGAGGAGAAGCATCCTCTTAGGAATTGTTTGTCATAAACTAGAGAAAACTTCAGTCTTCCTGAGGCTTAGATGGAGCTCTGGGATATTTCTTTCTTCTGAAACAGTTACTGGAGGTGAATTTCCTTCTCCATTCCCCTGTGAGTTGATTGATTGATAGCTATAGAGAGAATTTCCCAGGTAAGATAGAAAAAGGCCTAAGCTGGATTAAGGATGCAGCTACTGTTGCTCTGAATCATTATCATTGCTGCAGCCAGACCAGCCAAAACGTTACATTTATTTTCCTTTCCTGCAGTCAGAGTCATGGAAACATTTCTGTTCTTATGACTGGATCTATTGATCCCAGCCTTCTGATATATTTGGGCTGGAAGGGTTAGAATTTCAGACTCGCTTAAACAACCTGAGATAATGTGTTTGTGTTTGGAAATAGAAGCTGAGCTCTGACCCAAACTGTTCAGGATAAAGACGGCTAGAATTACAGACTGCCTGGCTGCTGGCCAGACCTCCAAAGAGAAGCATTAGTAGGTCACACGATTAGCTATAAGCAGTAATCCTGTGGTTATGGTGTTATTATCTCCTCTAAGAAGTCATGGATGAGAGATCCTTCTAATGTAATTATACCTGAATTAGCTTCCAAAGATATGAGCGGCTTCTTATCTGCCATTTTCTGTCTCCAAGCCTTTTCCATCCATCCTGACAGATATCTGCACTGCCCTTTTATAGATGGGCCTCCACGCTGCTAGCAGATATTAGCTTTGATTAAGGTTATTAATCCCACTGTACCTTTAATACGTCTATAGATGTTCTTCCCTGAAATGAGGCTTATGAAGATGTTTGCGTCTTCTCCAAACCCGTAATGTCCTGATCTGGACCAGAGCTGGTTCTGATCCCGATCCTGCCCTCACTGGGCTTCAATCATTGGCGTCAGTTCAGTTTATTTTGTATTCAAAGTGTCATCTCATGGCGCAGTGCAGAGATAATATCCTGCTATGCTACCATGTTGATGTTTTCGTCATCCACTGCTAGTTCATCCGGTAATATTTGGGTATTTGCTTTTCCTTCTAGGGAACTGGACCACACTGGACTCCAGGTGATCTGTTGGAGTGTTCTAGGCTTTTCCTGGACCGGAGGAGCTCATCATCTTCTGAGGCGCGCCCTGAGGATGGGGAGCTCAGAGAAAGCTACTGTTTTCGGCTGGGATTCCTTCACCCAGCTCTCAGTTTGAAGAAAAGCACCAAGTTCCCAGGAGGAGGATCCAGAAGCACAGCCTGCCAGGTTCAGGCCACGCCCACAGAGAGCATGTCCGTTTCAGTGGGGCCTTCATGGATGTGGTATCCCGAGGCCAGGGCCAGACTCCTGCTGTGGATGGGCCTGCTGTCTGTGTGTTTAGCTGCTGTCCATGCCCAGCAGCATCCGGTAGCCACCACCAACTATGGGAAACTGCGAGGAGTGAAGGTTACATTACCCAATGAGATCCTGGGACCAGTGGAGCAGTACCTGGGGATTCCCTACGCACTGGCTCCAACAGGGGAACGGAGGTTCCAGCCACCGGAACCACCTATGTCCTGGCCGGGAATAAGAAACGCTACTCACTTTGCTCCGGTTTGTCCTCAGTTCTTAGAGGACCGCTTTTTACTCAACGACATGCTCCCTGTGTGGTTCACCGCCAACCTGGATACGATAGTGAGCTATGTGCAGGAGCAGAGCGAGGACTGCCTCTACTTAAACATCTACGTCCCGACTGAAGACGGTAGGTCTGCCACTCACTTCTTCTGCTGCTTCTGTTTTCAGGTTAGAGACACTGTTTGGGTATCAGAAGCAGATTTAGTGATCCTGCTTTGATTAAGAAAAGTCTGTGTGTCCGCATTAAGGAAATGTCTGATGGTTCATAGTAGCAGTCTTCCATCTCGATGTCTTCAGTGTGAAAGGTGGCAAAGAAAACCTGAACTAGATGTCTCCTGAATGCTGGACAACCGATATCAAGGTTTAGTTAAAATCTGCTGCCGACATTAGCCATCCCTGCAGTCATTATCTGCATGATGGCTGTTAGAGTGGCTCAGGCTGTCAGTACATGACACCACAGTCAGAGCCAACACGCTAATTAAGGCTAGAATGGTTTGACTAAAGTGGTGACAGGTGTCCAGGAGCATTTTAATGGTCCACCAGTTTATTCTATCCAAACGGTAGTCATTAAACAACTCAAACCACAAGATCGGTCTGCCTTATTAGAGTTTATTCTATTTTCAGATGGTTTCTGTCTCTTGGGCAACAATATAAGCCATTAGCTTCTGTTAGTTTTAATGAGATGAATGTCCTGCAGTGCCATACTACCTTTAGGTGAAAAGCATTTGAATGTGGATCTGCTGATGTTCTCATAGAGTTTGTATTTTGGTTAATTCCCACCAAACAGGAGATGTTATTTAGACATTGGTTTTTAGGCCAAATGTCGTTGGTCCGTCATAGTCTGGATTTAGTCCAGAAATAGTTGTTGAAAATGGTCTGTTTGGTTTGGCCTTAGTCCAACGTCCAACGTTACAAACCCTGTTTTCAACATCTTTTCAATTACCTGGAAATTGCAGCTTTTCATTTTTCACTTTCCAACCAAATGTAGACGTCATTTGGACGTCAATCATGTCGTCTTTCAAATCAATTTTTGCTGGGTGGGATAATGTTGACTTAGTCCTTTGGTCTTCAGTTAGGGCATTGTTATTTATTATTGAAACACATCTAAGTGACTAGTTCTTTATGAAAATCGGTGAGTGAAAATGAGATAATTTTAAGACATTTAATGGGAAAACCAGGAGTTAATAGCGTGAGATATGAGACAGTAAAGCGTGAGAGGTATCCCAAGTACGGAAAAGATATGCATCACATGCCTTAGAGTCAGAAACATGGTCAGGACTGGGCTTAAGGCCGTAGTAATAAGGGGTTGAGCTCAGAACTAGACTCAAGGCAGAGGCCAGGGGCCATATAGAGGCTACACTAAATGCCAAGGTTAGGGTTAAGGCCACCTTTGGAGCTACAGCAAGGGCCAAGTTCCGAGTTAAGTTCAGAACAAGTGTCAAGATCAAACATAGACCCAGGGCCATTATTTGGGCTAGTGTCAGGGTCAAGATAGCGTCTGGAGTCAGGGTCACGATCAAAGCCAAAGTCAGAACTAGAGTCAAGGCAGGGGCCAGGGCCACAGTAAAGACTAGACTTAATGTCAGGGTCAAGACTAGGGTTAGAGCCATCGTCTGAGTTAGAGCAAGGGTCAAGATCAAAGTTAAGGTTAGAACTGGGATGAAGATCAATGCTATATCCAGGGCCCACTTTAGGGCTAGGGTCAAGGCCAAGATCAACGGACCAAGCCTGGGGTCAGGGCCAAGCCTGGGGTCAGGGTCGAGCCTGGGGTCAGGACCAAGCCTGGGGTAAGGGTCGAGCCTGGGGTCAGGGTCAAGCCTGGGGTCAGGGCCAAGCCTGGGGTCAGGACCAAGCCTGGGGTCAGGGTCAAGCCTGGGGTCAGGGCCAAGCCTGGGGTCAGGGTCGAGCCTGGGGTCAGGACCAAGCCTGGGGTCAGGGCCAAGCCTGGGGTCAGGGCCAAGCCTGGGGTCAGGGTCAAGCCTGGGCTCAGGGTCAAGCCTTGGCTCAGGGTCAAGCCTGGGGTCAGGGCCAAGACAGTAGTCAGGGTCAAGCCAGGGGTCAGGGTCAAGCCTGGGGTCAGGGTCGAGCCTGGGCTCAGGGTCAAGCCTGGGCTCAGGGTCAAGCCTGGGGTCAGGGTCAAGCCTGGGGTAAGGACCATCCCAAAAGCTTAATTTCAGTTTATTTCATTTGCTTCAAGGTGAAGTGTTTATGTTCTTCCCTGAAAGATGATATCAAGTATTGTCTTTTTATTTGGGTTTAGGTTCAGGACTTTGGATTTAGCTCCTTCCCTTGATCATTCCTTCCAATCAGGGCAATGCTTCAGCTTAGCTCCACAGCATGATGCTACCACTGCCTTGCTTGACAGTTTGTAAAATGTTTTTCATTGGAGAAGCCTTGACCTTGAATCTTTATTCAAGCCAATTAGCCATTACCATAGCGACCAAGCTGTAGATTAACTAAAAAGAGGATAACCTGTTGGTTCGTAGAGTAACCAGCCTCCCAGTCTGTGGGAATGGGACCTGCTTTATCCTGGACTGGTTCTTCACCAGTTTCTAGTTCATGTCAGGCTGGATCCTTGCTGGTTGATGGTCTAACACCTCCCAGCTATTAGCTAAGGATAGCCTGACATGCTAAGACCTATAGTATCCCATCAGTTTCTGATTTATTTCTTTAATATCTACATTCTAGCATGTTCATCCTGCTGCATCCACATGATCACAGCCACCTGTTGGCAGGAAACCAAATCTGAGATCTTCTTCCAGAAGAATCCAATAGATTCCTCTAGTTGAGTAGCTATTCAAACAGAACATGGCCTCCTGTCTGTGATTGACGGAGGTATTATGCAGTGTTTTAACAGCAGTCTGCAGCATGAAGCAGCAGCAGGGAGCATATCCACCTTTCAGGCTGGGCTTCTCCACCCTGAGCAGGAAATCGTCATTTGTTCATTAAACACTTCCTGTGTGTGTTTTTTTTTTGTTGTTGTTGTTGAGAATCACGAGTGCCTCTGATGATTTCATAAATATTCAGGTTCATTTAACAGGGGGAAAATTTTATGCTGAACCAGTTTTGCCATAAGAATTAACCTAAATAGACATAAACTTAATTTTATGTCCAAACTATTATTTGGTCCAAGAATAAACAGAAACATACAAATAAAAAAAATCCAATGAAATCGCATGAAAGGCAATATGTGGCCTAGTTGGACTCATCTTCTTTCAGGAACAATCCATCCTCTGCTTCACACCTGGATTCTCCTCTTCAGATCAATCCATTTTCTGCTAAATGGTAAATGTCCTGTACTTATATAGCGCCTTTATTCAAGTCAGGAGACTTGACCAAAGCACTTTACACTACATTCACCCATTCACACACACACTCACACACTCATGGTGGCAAGCTACATTGTAGCCACAGCTGCCCTGGGGCACACTGACAGAAGCGGGGCTGCCGTACACTGGCGCCACCCTCTGACCACCATCAGTAGACAATGCAGGTGAAGTGTCTTGCCAAAGGACACAACGACACTGAAAGTCAGAGTCGGGGCTTGAACCGTCAATCCTTCGATTTCAGGGCAAACTCCTACATCCAACACCGCTGTCGCCCTGCTCCACACCTGGATCCCCCACTCTCAAATCCATCCATCTTCTAATCCAGACCTGGTCATCCTCTTTTAGATCCATCCATCCTCTGCTCCACACCTGGATCATCTCCACTCAGAGACAACCATAGCCTTCAGCTCTGTGCCATCAGTATAACAGTGGAAATTAATCCCATGCTGTCTAATAACTCTACCGATTGGGAGCATGTATAAAGTAAAGAGAATTGGTCCTAGCACTGATCCCTGTGGTACTCCACAGGTAACCTTTGAGCATGAGGAAGATCTATCATTAAAATGAACAAACTGAATTCGATCAGATAGATAAGATTTAATATTTAATATTCAAGTCTTTCTAAAAGAATATTCTGATCAACTGGATCAAATGCAGCACTGAGATCCAACAGGACGAGCACAGATACAAGTCCATTATCTGAGGCCATGAGAATATCATTAGTGACTTTCACCAGAGCTGTTTCAGTGCTATGATGAGCTCTAAAGCCAGACTGAAACTCTTCAAAAAGTTCATTATGGTGGAAGTGATCGCAAACTTGTTTGGCAACTACTTTCTCAAGAATTTTGGATAAGAAAGGAAGATTGGATATAGGTCTATAATTGACCAAGTCATCTGGGTCAAGAGACGGTTTCTTAAGCAGAGGTTTAATTACAGCAACCTTAAAAGCTTTAGGTACATATCCCTGTAACAGAGATAGATTAATCACATCTAGAATGGAGGAGGAGATCAAAGGGAATACCTCCTTAAATAACCTGGTTGGAACTGGATCTAACATCCAGGCTTAGATGAAGACAATAATTTAGCTTATTCAGAAAGTTCAACTGGATCAAAGCAGTCTAAACCCAGTTCAGATTCCATGACTACCTCAGGTACAATCGCGGTTAGAGGAGTGCTTATCATCTTATTTTTAATAAGATCAATCTTATTTATAAAGAATCCCATAAAATCATTGCTGCTAAGAGCAGGTGGAATGGACGGTTCAACAGAGCTATGGCTCTGGGTGAGTTTGGCAACTGGATTAAAAAGAAATCTAGGATTATTCTTATTCTCCTCTATTAATGAGGAGAAGTATGCTGCTCTTGCTTTACAAAGGGTCCTCTTATACAGCAGTAAACCATTTTTCCAGACTAGGAAGGACTCTCGCAGGCCTGTGGAGCGATGTTTTCTCTCCAGTTTCCTAGCATTTTGCTTCAAAGTCGCAGCTCTGCATTAAACCAAGGAGCAAGCTTTCTATTTTTAACGGTTTTCATTTTCAAAGGAGCTGCGTTGTCTAAGGCAATACGCAGAGAACTAGCAACCCCATCAACAAAATCATCAACCTGTGAAGGAGAATAAGCTATGCTTTTGCACTCTGCAGCACTGCTCAGCGACACAGAGGAGAGAGAAAGTGAAGCAGATTCTTTAAAATGTATAACTGCACTATCTGATAAAGATCTACTAAAATTGAACCTTCTTTTGGGGGAGGAGAACTCTGTTAAAGTAATCCTGAAGGTTATTAGAAAGTGGTCAGAGAGGA